TAACACCATCCGCCTATACAAACACTACCTTAGTAACACTATGTAAAACGTACGCAATTAAATATATGAGGGAAAACTATAAAGTTCATCAGATTAAAATTGCGGATTTAATCTCTTACTTATAAAGCAAAACTGTAATTGCAATAAAAATCTTTTCAGTACTGATAATTGTAAATACAATGTTAATCAAGTTAGATTAAATTATTGATTCTAATACTTTTATTGTTACCATAAAGTTAATGTCATGTTGTTTTACATCACCATCTGGTGGATCGCTCGTGAAGTATCTGCGCGATCACACCGACGCGCCTTCTGTTGCCACTTTGTAGAACTATGAACTTAAGACAGCCGCGCCCTCTGGTGTGTGGCATTATTAGAGTTATGTAAACCCAGATGTCGCATAATTTCCTTATTACGTATCTTATTGAGTACCCGACAGGCCAGATAACTGTTAATATTTACAGTTTTAGGGCCCTTCGTGTACTGATTACAATGGAAACATCTTTTCATAATCACTTAGACCGGGTGTAAATAGTAGTTAGCGTGCCAGTCTGTGAATCCGAGAATTCATGGTTCACAGCCCACTGTCGCAAAACGCGCTCCTCACTGTAGGGATATTGGTGTTAAAAGAGTAACTATCAAATCCTATACTTGATTATGATAACCCAAGTGTTGGTAGTGGGTGCTGTTAACTAGTTGCCATCAGTTCAAAGACAGGGACATCTAGCGCAGAATGTCCCAAACAAGTAAAACATACATTTACTTTTTTTTTGTCTTAACAGCTTACTTTAAAAATAAACAAAAATTTTAACAGAAATATGCTTAATAAAGACACGGTAACCGTCTGCAAACACTACATTTGTGTTTGTGTGCAGTGTTGTTACAAGTAAAAAAACGAGCCTTCTCAGTCGATATGTGGTATTTCCACTTGTAAAAAACGAAATTTTTCAGTCGGGCAAAACACCTCGTTAATACAACTAAAATGTACAAATTAGATTTAGAAAATGATGTAGAAATATGATATACACAGTGAAATAAATTAATAAAATATATAAATTTTCAAGTAATAAATGTAAGTTTTGAATCACTTCAGGTACAAAATTGTAAATTAAATATGAATCTTCCATAAAACATTTTCCCTTTAGTTGTTTTTTTAAGGGAGTGATTTAGTAAGGTATGGATTGATCTCAGAATTTACTCTTTTCTTTATTGTTTTTTAATGAAATAGTAAACTGTGTTGTTTATTATTATGTTCATGAGGAGTTACCATACGTATGTTTATTTTTGTAGAGGTGTGTATGGAGGTGAAGAAAACGGAAAACGCGGGTATCTTTTAACTTATGTAATTGCATACATTCGGGTAAGTTTACAGATATAACTCTTGAGTAGAACTACCTATCGACAAATGAATGAGATCTGATAGCTTAAAGATCATAATCGTTGTTAGGTTGCAACTGCTAGATATTTACCTATATGTATGAATTGTATATACACAAATATAACAAACGCAAAATTCAGGGTATTAAATTAAAGGTGTGCTTGTTTCTACATTAAGTAAAATGTGAATATTAAGATATTACAAATCAAAGTGAAAGTGTTTCATTTGAAAGAAAATAAAAATCCTCGGAACCTAGATATCCTAATTAGGCTTCAAACCTTCAAAAACCTAGATGTTGTAACGAGGCTTCAAACCCTCGGAAACCTAGATATCCTAATTAGGCTTCAAACCCTCGCAAGCCTAGGTGTCATAATTAGGCTTCAAGCTCTCGCAAACCTAAATATCTAATTAAACTTCAAACTCTCACAAACCTAGATGTACTAATTAGGCTATTTTCAGGTCGGCATTTTGTTATTACACTTCCACAGCATGAGTTGTTTCCGAATAATGTGATGCAATAACACAAGTACTAGAAGTATAGTTTACAGTTTATAACATCTAGAGAAATTAAGTAATCAGATAATTTAAGGAAATTCAATAAAGTAGATTTTCTTTAGGGGTGAAGTGAGACCTTCAGTTTTATCCTCGTCCTCCAGTGACACGAAAAGCTTATAATGCTAAAAAGTGAGTTTGATACTCGTGGTTGGAACGGCACAGTTATCTCAATGTATGGCTTTGTACTTAACTACGAACAAAGACACCAAAAATAAAATTTTATTTTTCTGTTACGTTAGTTCTTATTTGTACGTAGAATATACCCTTTAATATTGTTCGTTTTGAATCTTCAAATTATTGCCTTACTAGTTAAAATATCTATCTATCAATAATTAATGTATATGTACTTACTAATGCACTATCTAACGTATCTATAGAATACGCCTGCTATTCACCATCCACACTTTAGCAACTAAGTGAATTGATCCAAGCTAACTATTGTATTCTTAAAACAATGAAAAATTACATAGAATGTTTGTTAAGAATTAAGAAAAAAATTAATTTGGCTTGAAGAGAATCCGAGGACTTAGTTTAGTTAGTGCCTCTTTTTCCGGTTTTTTCCGCAGAAATTTTTCCAGGGAGTGGCAAAGATTTCTAGGAGGGGGACAAAGTAGTGTAAAATTGTGAATTGAATAAAAAATTCATAAACATATGCTGAATGAATAAAGAAGGAATTATGTTTCTCATTTTCCAGGGGGCCAGTTCCCTCCAGCAAACGCTCATGCTCTCATGTTTATTTTTGATGTCACTAAAGTGTTTTTAATGGACTGTGCTGCTTCTTTTAATGTCTTGTCATTTTTAAACTTCGTCTCATTCTATATAAAATATGTTTTGCTGTAATACCTGTTTGAACTCTTATTTAACACCTCCTGTAGGACCTTCTATTTGACTTTGGAGTGTTTGGAGAATCCTTTGAAACTTCCGTACCATGGGATAGGCAAGTTTTGTGTTTAAATTTACTTTGCAACAGTACGGTAGCACAGTATATTTGTTATACGTAAGACACATGTAACCCCTAAATTAGTGGTATAAATAACAAATTTTAGTGACTAATTTAAGGTAAGTATAGAAACTTACAACGCTAGAATCCGGGTGGACACAGCAGATAGCCCAATGTAGCTTTGCTTTCAATTGAATAAGAACAACAAGGCAAATATAAAAAAATAAAATTGACAAATAATACATAATTTTCATTGTTGTTAAAAATTTCACCGTTTTATAAATAGTACAATTCCATCTGAAGCAAAATTATAAAGTTATTACAGAAAAAAGAAAAGAATATTCACAAGTTTTATAGCGACTGATGGACGATGGAAGTTGAGAAACGTTATAAGTTTCTCTGTATTCATGACAGGATAGCTTTCGAAGTATGAATCAAAAACTGACTCCCCTACCCAATATTATGAAGCCTGGTGTAAAAATCGGTTAAGTTTAAAAGAGGTGTGAAAGGTGCCGAGTTTTGTTCAGTTTCTGGGGGATTAGGGGATTACAACACGAAATGGTTATAGAATTATTGGAGGAATCGGCCATCTTTCTTGTTTGGCCGTTGTGTAGTTTATGGACCACCTATGATTAGGAGCGTTATGATTCTAATAATGTGCAAGGACGTACAGAGAAGGACCTATTGAAGTGAGTTTGAAAACGAAATATACACGACAAGCGTTTAAAAGAAGAAAATTTGATTGGGAGTTGTGAGAGAGAGGCGAAAGAAAAAGTAATTATCTTCAGTAAGAAACAAATGATAGTTCTAAATCTATATGTCGTTGGTTATTGTAATAAATAGCTATCTGTTACGTATAGTAGTACGATTCAGATCCTGATAGAAATAAGTAAAACCTCAATAAAGTTGATGGGAAAACGAAGTGCGAGTTTAAACAAATAGGTGTCACAAGTGTGGTCTTCAACACGCGTAAGTTTGAATTAATGTTGTATTTAGTATTATTTTGTTTCTAATCCTTTACTTAGCTTTGTACTTACCAGAGTTGTTTTCAAGAGATCAAACCCACAATAGACATGAAAAACTTTATTTTATTTGTACAGTAACACACTTGTTTGTGTTTATAGAGTTCTTGACCTCTGTAAAAATGTTAAAGACAGAATTCTTAAAGAAGCGGAAGCATATGGATTACAACGTGAACCGATCATTTCTTACCGAGTAACTCAGACTTACGATGTGGGGGCTTGTATTTACTTTTATATGACTATTTACGGGCGTGGCCTTCCAGATCCTATTCACGTCTACGAGAAACTCGAGGTATTTATTTTATTGTTAGTACTTGCTTTTTATTTTGTTTATTGCTTTCAATATATTAACATTACAATGACTGTCACGAATTTCGTCACTAAGTAATCAAATTCATTACTTAATCCGAATATATCACACAAAAGAAGTGTTCATTTCGAATGCGATCTCAGTAACATACAATAGATTTACATGCGATCTGAGTAACAAACAGCAGGTTTACATGCGATCTGAGTAACAAACAGCAGGTTTACATGCGATCTGAGTAACAAACAGCAGGTTTACATGCGATCTGAGTAACAAACAGCAGGTTTACATGCGATCTGAGTAACAAACAGTAGGTTTACATGCGATCTGAGTAACAAACAGTAGGTTTACATGCGATCTGAGTAACAAACAGTAGGTTTACATGCGATCTGAGTAACAAACAGCAGGTTTACATCCTCCATTTCGCTAGTTCTTTAGATAGAAGTGGTTATGAATAGTTGTATCATTTCCTGGAAGTGGAAACGACTGAGATATTAATTTTTCGAAGCCAGGTAATAACGAAGTAACTTTCAGACTCTCATTATATGTGATGTCCTTTTTATGTCTTAGGACGTTGTAAGAAACTTTGTGGATCTTTCTATAACACCTGTGGTACCAATAATTATGTATGTTAACGTGAAACTGTTTCACCAATGTATCTAATGAACATGGATAGTTGATACTTTTCATCACGATATGCATTATAATATAGATGTCATGCGTATAAAATCCGTGTAAACAAGCATAACATATATTTCTACACATGAAACTTTATCTATTTTACAATAATTAATAAAATCTTCTAGCCATATAGTTAGATTTTTCCTTTACTGTGTTTTCTATAATGAAGGTTTTATTGCATTCTTACACAGCTTAGATACATATTCTCAAGTTTTATAGCTAAACTCTTAAATAATGAACAGGATAAAGTATGTGAAGTGTTTAAAATGCTAAAGGAATGATAAAACACGTTTAAGTATTGGATGGCATTTCAATGAAATTCCAGAAAGAAAAAAACTTTTTTTTTTCAAGATTCTAATTGCGATATATTTTTATGTACGTTATTTTCCAGGCAGTGGCTAGAGATGAGATACTTTTTTTTCAAGATTCTAATTGCGATATATTTTTATGTACGTTATTTTCCAGGCAGTGGCTAGAGATGAGATACTTTTTTTTCAAGATTCTAATTGCGATATATTTTTATGTACGTTATTTTCCAGGCAGTGGCTAGAGATGAGATACTTGCTTGTGGAGGTAGTGTTTCTCATCACCACGGAAGTAAGTAGAGCAGTGTTTTTAAATCCGAATGTTTAGAAGTTCGTTATGATTAATAAAACAAAAACACTCGAACAAAGTGAAAACGTACATTTTAAGTCGACCATAGTTTTATAAATGAACTAAAATTTGTGTGTGAAAACAAAAAATGTTTAATGGCAATCGCAGTTCCATAAGGCAGGCAGTAAAACTGAATATTTTTCTACTTGAAAAATATAATAAAACCAAATA